TTTAGTACCAAATTTGTAGCATATCGTACTTTAATAAATATATTAATAAATATTTTTTAATTAAACTTAAAAAATTTTAGTTTTATATTGAGCCAAAAAGCGTTCGGAGACTTTTGGCGGGGGTCTGTATATTTATAATAAAATTTTCTTAAATCTTAAACTACTACTTTTTATTTTTTTATAAAAAAATAAAATATTTTTAATGTTATTATTTACAATTATTTACCAATAATGATGATATAAAATCTATTTTGATAACTTTAAATATATTCTTTATCATAAAATAAAAGTTAAAAGAATAATTAATTTAAATATCTAGAAAGTTAAAAATAAACTTAAAAGTCTTAAAGAAAAATTTATACTAAAGATGCATTAAAGAATTTGGCATAATTATAGACCTATATTAAGATTAAAAAATATTTTAATAAAAATAAATAACTAAAATATAAAAATTATTAAAGATATAATAAAACTTTTTTGTGATCTTAATATTTATTTAAATCCAGAAAGTTCTTTTTCATTACTATTTTCATTCTTTGACAAAAGAAAACTAGTAGAGAGATTAGCTATTGATAATAATGATAATTTTTACTATATGAGAAGAAAGAAATTTAGCAATATTTTAAACATAAATTAACTTATTACTTTATTTATAAAATTGTTAGATATAGAAAGTCATTTATTCTTGCAATAATTACATACTTTCAACTTCAAATTGAAAAGTTTAAAATCTATTCTTTTTGAACTTTTTTCTAGTTCTTAAAGAAGTTTTCTAAGATTTTAAAAATACATGAGATTACTTAAATCAACTATTAATAAAAAGATATAAATATCAATAATAAAACTTTTCGAAATTTATAATAAAAGAAGGATGAGAATTATATATATTTTTAGTTTGATTAGTAATTATTAAGTTATATAAAAACTTCTTTTTTATATAGGTATATTTAATTAACTATATCTTTTCTGATAAATAGTTATCCTCTATATGACTTTGAAGTTAATAATTATAATCATCAATTCTTTTATATTAAAGAATCATAATTGCTATTATTGTATCTATAGATAGGGTTAAGAATTTGATATATTAAAAAAATAGACACTGTACTTGTATTATATTTATATTAATTTTTAGTCTAAATCATAAATAAAAGACTATTAAATACTATGCAATTTAATAAATTTGTTAATCTATTTGTCTACTTGTTATTTGAATCAATATAATCTGTTATACATATAATTATATATTTTTTTGTTGATCAATTAAATTATTTGTAATCATTTTATTTATACTATTTTATCACTTTAAACTTTCTAATAGTTTCTATTACCTAGTATATTAATTATTATAATGTATTAATTATACTAATAATTATACTAATCACAACCTTTTCTGTAAATTTGCATAGCTAATTATATCTTTAAAAAGGTAAAAATGAAGTATTTTTACAAATTTAACCTGAATTTATTGCATAAAGAAATTTTAAAATAATTCATTAATAAAGGAATATAAAAATATACTTTGTAAGTATTTTTAAAAATAAAATTATTACAAATGTGATAAATTTTAAAATTGATAAATACAAATTTTTTTTGCAAATTATTTTTCTTCAATTTAAAGATTATGTATATTTATTTACCAATTAAAGTTAATTAATAAATTATTAGTTCTTCATAAAAATCTATACTGTATATTATTCTGATTTAAATTATTTTTAATAAGAATATGTATTCAGATTCTAAGACTACTTTTTTCTATGAGATATAATTAGAATTAAAAAAAAATACTAAGTAGTTTGAATATGAAAGTAAAATTTACATAATTTTTTATAAAAATGATGTATACTATTTTGTTGAAGGTAATAAAAATATTTATAAAATAAAATATTAAAATTAATCTATTATATAATGTGATAATAATAGCATTATAAATATTTGTCAAAATCTTCTCAAAATAATTTTTTTATATCTTTTTCTATATTTTTAATAAAGTTTTGGTAGTTTTAACTTTATTATATCAAAAGAGCTTTATCATATCCTTTATTATAATTTTAATATAATTTCATCTGAATTTAAATTATTATTAAGAGATTTTGTCGTTTATCTATAAATAGCATTTAATAATATTAATATAGATTTTAAAATTCATTTATCTATGTAATTTATAAAAAAGATATAGTAGTAAAGGTAAAAGAAAATATATAAAAGATATAAAATTAAATCTGAAAAGCTAAAAGTTTATTGCTTAATAAAAAAATATTTATAAAAATATTTATACATATTATCATTAGATTTATTTTCTGATATTTAAGTTAAAAGGTTACAGTAATTGATTCTACTCATTGGAGTTTACAACTTTAGAATTTTTTCTAAGTTCTAAAAGTATCTGTTATACATAAATTAACTTAACAATTTATTATATCTTAAAATTTAAGATTTATTTAGTTAAACTTAAATGATAAATTTAAAAGCAAGTTAATATAGAGTATCATAATAAATCTTAAATAAAAATAATGTTAAAATAAAAGTAATTTGTGTAGATTTAAATTAATTTCTTTATTTATAACTTAAAATTCGCAAAAAAGTTAATTTACTTGCAAAAGATTTGATTTATAACTTAATCAATACAAAAGAGTTAATTTATAATTTAATCAAAAAGTTGTTATATTTATATAAAATTAATTTGCTACAACTAATTATTTGTTATACTATAAATTAATTAAATATAAATATAAAAATATATATAATAAAATAATAAAATTAAAATAAAATATAAAAAGAAATAAAATAAATTACAGATATTAAAAAAATTACAAATAAAACAAAATAAATAAAATAAATAGGTTATATAGAAAATACAGAAGAATTAGATAAAATATTAATTATTGTTTAACATAATTATAAGATCATCTAATATAAAATCATAATTTTTGGAATTGCAATTTCTTCTATTAATAATATATAATATCATTGAAGTTAAAATATGAAATAATAAAAATAATTTATTAAATAATTTTTTTGCTATTTTTATATTATTAAAATTAAAAGTATTAAAAACTATTATTCTAAAAGTATTAAATTAAATTGAAATAAAATAATTAATTTTTACTTAATAAATTTTAAAATAATAATTTTTTAAAATTAATTAATTATTATAAATTAATATTAAATTTTATAATAAATTTAATAAGTTATTTAAAAAAAATTAATTATTTTAAAGAAAAGAAGATAATTCTTTTTAAGTATATAATTTTCTAATAACTTTTTTTAATCCTTTTAATCATTAGAATTATTAATTAATTTTTTATCTGAATAAAATTTTTTAATTTCAAATTTACTAATTATTTTTTTGTTTAATTAAAGATTTTAAATTTTAAAATTATAAGATTTTTACCTAAAATGTATAACTTTTTAACTGCTTTTTTATAATATTCATATAATTTTTTAACTTTTATATCTTAATTATAAAAATTACTAATTTGTTTTTTTATCTAATTGGAATCTTAAAATCTCATAGATCAAATAATTTTAAAATTATTTTCTTAAGAAACTATCAAAATCTTAAAAACTAATAAAATTAATATATTAGAGATATAAAAAAAATTTTTATTTTAATTAAGAAAATATAATAATTGTAACCATATTAAACAAATGTTATATTTTACTTACAATAAAAATTATAAAATACATAAGTTAATTGCATTTAAATTTTTGATATTTAATATAGTATTATATTAGAATTAAAAATCAAAATACTTTTATTATAACATATTAAACAATAAATTTTTGAATTAAAATATTATAAAAATTAAATATAATAGTAAGTTTAAATTATGAAATATTATATTTCTTATTAATAGTATCATAATTTTGTTTAAGTTTTGATTATTTTTTTCTTATTTATAATTATAATATTAAAATATTAAAAAGATTATTTTGAATGATATTTATAAAAAGTATAAATCAAATATATATCAATATCAAAATGTATCAAATAAGTATAACAATCACTGATGAGAAAATGTTTTGATTTGAGATTACTGAATACTCGTGATTTTTGATTCTTCACAGTTACACCTATGATGTGATAATATATGAAAAAGCTGAGAAATAAATGTTTGATCATAGGGTAGAGTCGACTTCTCATACTCAAAGTCAGTGAAAAAATATATATTTAGTATAGGTCCTTGGGTAGCTTTATTAACATAGAAATTTTCTCGTGTATTTTTTTGGCTATGTCTAAAACTTGTATTTATTTATCACATGTAATAATGAAAATATTTTTTCTTGGCATTTTTCAGAAGATAATTCCAAGTTTTGTATAAAAATTTTCTCAAAATTCAGATCGCAAATTAGAAAGTCTGGCAGTAAATTCTATATAAGAATATACAGTGAATGTGAAATATCGAGAAAACGAAATATAAAGGTAAAAGTAGATTAGAGATATTATTTATTTTTTACCTTACTCTGTAATTTTGCAACAGATCTGAAATATTATCATCTTAGAATATTTGGGCAGAATTAGTTTAAACAATAACAGATATAGTTAATTTACTTCGGAAATTATAGAAGCAAATTAGATAGACGTATAGATATTGAAAAAATTAGCATTAGGTATATTGAGAAGCAGGAAGGATTGGTTAGACATCGAAATGTTTCCTCCCTTTGAACGTTCACCAATCAAGTAGATTTTGTTAGTTTAGCACTGACAATTCACTTATAAAAGATTTCGTTTAACTTTTGCAATTTTTGTTTTATTGATAAAAATGTTTCTTTATTCACTAAAAAATTGTTAATCAAGCAACGTTACTAAATATCTGAATCATAGATTGGAATTAGCCTTAATCTGGCTTGCATCTTTAGCCACTTCCTTCATAAAAACATAATTTCATTTTGGATTATCAGAATCAGTACTATCTCCATCATTATTAGATTTAGCAAATGTTTTAGTATGTTGATCTATTCCACTCTCTATGATCTGATTAAGGTCACAGAGAACATTTTTCACGAATTCACTACTGTAAGCATCTGGAAGTTTCCATTTGTAATACAACTTCTTATGTCCCCTATGTCCCTCAGAAATGGTAATTTTATATCCTTTGGATTGTAAAAATTTGATGTATGATTCACATAAGTAAAAACATTTCTTGAATACTGCTATAAATTCATTATGTTTCTTGCTAAATACGTCGGTGTTGGTTAATATGTTCAACTCTACGTGTAAATATGTGATTAGTTGTTTTATGATCCAATTGACTACTTGTGTTACCATATATCTCGTTTAGTTTCTTCCTTGTTTCTTTATTGTTTACACAATTTTTCTTGAAAACTTCAAAACTCTTTTGAGCAAGAATAAACTATTTGATAATATCAGACCATGGAGATATGGTTTGTTTGCCAGAAATAGGATCTGATAAATGCAAGTCTATACAAGAAAATGATGTTTTATACTTTTCTTTACGTGCACAATTAACAATATCCATCACAGATGCAGAATGGATCCCACTTTTTTGATGTGTCCTAGGAATCTTTACGGATAATTTTTGTTTTTATTGTCTTTATAATACTCGTAACAAGCCACAGAAATTTGGTAAGTCTCATTTAGATTATTAACGTTAATCTCAGAAGATTCTAGGAATTCTAGGAAAGATTTAATATGTGGCTCGTCATTATTATCCTTTATATCTCTTTTAAGTTTATCTAATCTATGTCTAAACTTAACAGAACAGTACTCAAATACATTAAAAAATAAAGTAGACATATCCTTTCTTTTAGTTGCTTGTTCAAATGTCATGAGAGCATTTTTAGATAAATTTTTCATGAGTCCTTTAATTTCATTGATATATTTAACATCTCTAACAAGCTATCTACCGTTCTTTGAAATGTAAATTCTACACTTGCTGGGTAAAATTTTCATGTTAACCGCTACTACTTTACTGTCTCTTGCTAATATCATTGCTAGGTTACGAGAAAATATGTCACTCTTTGATAAGCTAATTTCTTCTTTACTTGCTTTGTCGGTAATAAATATTACGCTTCTAGCAACATACACTTTACTATAAAATTCTGTAAGTTGCAATATTGGGTTTGCCCTTTTTGCCATTCTACCTGTTTATAAATGTGATAAATGTGTAAAAATATTTTGAAAGAAAATTAGGATAATTCAGATGTATTATTTTAAATTTTTGATGTAATGTGAAAAAAAATGGTCGTAATACAATATATGGAATACAAACAGCATGAAATTTCAGCTGGAGTGAACTGTTGATTTCTGATACTACATGTTCTGTGCATAACTGACTACCATTTATTCTATCCAGAATATTGACGTTTAGACAAATAAAATCAGATTGGAGTTAACGTGTTAGTATATAGATAGCTTAGATGAATGAAACACCAGCAGGCATTAGTATAGAAACTTATTTCATTTTGCAAAACAAGTTTATGTATTACCGAATCTTGTAATTTATTTTTATATTAATAAATCAGCGATGAGGATATTACCTCGTTTTTTATTTATGCTAACGAACTTATGAATTATTCTATCTTTCATAATTATTATCATACATGCAATTCATTGATTCATTGAGAGAATTAAATGCCAAGCTCATAGCTGAGATTACTGAGCTTAGGAAGGAGAATGCTGAGATCCCTGAACTTAGAGAGAAAATACTAAGATTTGCTGCCCTATGAAAAATATATGATTATTTTACGTACAGTAAATTTTCATCATGTAATGCTCATAATGATCATTCATTAAATATATATGTTATGTGGATTTTATATTATATGTATCTAAATCATTTATTATTTGTATATAAATTATATTATTTGTGCATAAATTATTTATATTAAATGTATTTATTAAACTTATTATACGTATACAAATTATTTATTAAATATTTATATCACCTATTATTAATTAATAATGCAACATTACTATTTTCTTAAACTGCTATATCTTTCTTTTTGTTATATTGTTGTTTTTTGACAGGAGATTTCATGAAACCTTCTTTTTCAATTTCATTATTATTAGATCTAGCATTTTTAGTCTAAGAAGATCTGTAAAGTATAGTCTGCCTTGGCTTCAAATCACTTTTCCTAATATTATTATTAAAAAACAGACAAACATTTGATTAATTAAAAAAACAACTTACTTCGCAATAATTTGGGATAAGTAAAATTCATTAAACTTGTTATTAAAGCCAGTAGGACTACTTTTAGAAAGATTTAACACTTGGCTTTTCATATTAAGTAATAGCATATTATACCCTTCATTTGTTTCAATATCTGAATTGACTTCTTTTTATTTTTCTTTTCTTGCTTCAAAAAATATTTTTTCTCATTTTTTCATAAATTTTTCAATTTGTTGATTAATATTTTGAAAATCATCTTTTATATTTAAATAAAATTAATATACTAATTACAATAAATTAAAATATTGAAATTTAAAAATAAATATAAATTTGAATTTGCAGAATTTTTAACAAAATTTTTATGATCATTTTGAATATAATTTCTTTTATGCTTAAATACTTGATTGGATTTTATTGTATATATATTATAAACACAATATTTTACTAATAAAAAAATTTATAATGTGTAAACTACATACCTTTCATTTTAGGATTATTATCGGATTTTTTAGTTAGATAACAGTTGTTACCTATAGAAAATGATTAACTTAATAAATATATCAGATTAATTTAATGCTTATTAAATACTTACAATTTATATTTATCTTGCAATGCATAAAGTATATTAAAGGCCAATCTCTAATACAAGATGGAAAATTTGGGTTATTCTTTTTAAATTTTTGAATAATACCTACTCTAATTTTTTTATCAAGATTCTTATATTAAACTTCAGTAGGAGTATAATGCTCAACAATATTAAAAAAAGCAGTCTAAAAATACAAAAAATTATAATTATTAAAGAATCAAATTTTAAAAGGTTGTATTAAAATTATTTACTTTATAACTTTATATACACTTTCTTCTATCTTTAATTTTAAGTATAAATCTATAAATTGACCTAATCCTGTAAGTGATTTTGAAATTAGTTTTGTAATTAAATAATCATCACTATATTTTTCATCCTTAAAAATGTAATATATCAGTATATTAAAAAATACAAATTATAAATACAAGTTGTATTTAAAATTTACCTCTGTATCCTCTGTATTCTTTATATAATTTGATGATTTTAAGTTAGATTGACATTTCATTGATATTTTTTTGGGATACAATACATGTTTTTATATTTCTTTGAATATTTTTATTCTTCTCTCTCAATTCTCTAACACTTTCTTTTTTATTTACTTTATCTTTTAAATTTTTATTTTCTATTTCTAAATTAGTAATGCAAGCTAAAATAGATAATAATACTTTTTCATCTACCTTTATTTGCATACTACCAATATTTTTGAAATTATTAATAATAAAGTTATCATAATATTATTTTTGAAAACTGAATTCTGAGAGCCTTTAGCAAAGGTTTAAATATCTTTAGGACTTGATGACTTACTTTTAATAATAGGTTTGACAATATTTTTTCTTTGATTTGTTATATTTAAAATAAAAAAATTTAAAAAAATAAATCTAAAAAAATAAAGTTTAAAATGAATCATAAGAGCTTTTATATATTATTAAATTAAACTTTATAATCAAATATATTGCAATGTAATATTACTGCAATTTTATTTATTATTAAATTCATGCTAAAATTTATTGTGATACAAATAAGAAAATAATAAATAATTTTACACTAAAATAGACTTATATTTAATGTGATATAAATAATAAAAATATAATAATTCTCATGCTAAAATAAACTTATATTATGATACAAATAAGGAAATAAAAGTATTATATAGTGGTCACATTAAGGTTTTTATTTTTTTTTTAAATTGAATTTTATATCATTAAATTAATTATATTAATTTAAAGTTCAAATAAATTAAAAATTTTCTTTATACCTATTCAATATACTGCAAAAAAAAATATTAAAAAAATGAAATATTAGTTTTAAAATCTATAAGAACTAGACATTGTAAAAAGAATATGAAAATACATTATTAAATTATTATATGAGTTCTAGTTCTAAATTAATTTCAAGCTTAAGTCTTTCAAATTTTGATTCTAATTTAACAGAAAATAAAAAGATTAATTTCTCATCAAACAATATTAATGATATATTAAATAATATATCAGGTTAGGGAAGGGTCAGAAATCAGCTGATTTAAAAGGTAGGTAAGGGATTAGTTTCATATATCAGGTATTATGATCACGTAATATATTTAATATGAGATGATTGATTAGCTTTTTATCTTACTTATTATATTATATAATTATTATAGAATCTAATTTATTAGTAATATTATATTCTGCCACTTCATTCTAAAATCTTTTTAAGATCTTTAAATTATGAAATAGATATTAAAGTTTTATTCAAGTATTATGTCATTACATATTTAAACTTTCATATGGTTGATCAACAGGTTCATCTAAGTAGCAAAAATTGATTTATTAGTATATAATTAACAAATTTAATGACGTCATCATAATCATCATAAAAATTACATATAAGTCACAATTTCTCAAGTAGAAATCAATCTACATTTAATTGAACTTCACGAGAAATCTATCTAATCTCTCACCACAAATTTCTTCCTGAATTTATATCTTTAGCAATATTAAAATTTAGGTTTAACAAAACAAATACACAATCTATTTCTATCTCGCCAGCTTATTTCTAGGTTCTCTTCTTTTTGCAATATCCAGAATGCACATTTTGCTTATGTTTATTCATGAACTTGAGGGTTGAAAAGTATTTTTCGCATATATTACAATACAAATGTTGATAAAGTTCTTACAAAATTGAAGGGCAATTACTATCATACTTTGGAATTTTGAGTTTTATTATGATATTGAAGAGCATGAATTAGGTTGATAAAATAACTGTCCTTTCCTTTCATAGTTGAAGGGAGAAATTTATTATTCTTATTCAAAAGAATGGTTACATCTAAAACTCTGTATTTATTACAACATTCACGATTTTGCATTTTCTTATATCTAATAAATAATGACAAATCTGCACATAATTTTTAATCCACCCTCATGATATTGAAGGCTTGAGCTTATTGAATGTATGTCTATCTTAGTTAACATATTTTACTTTCACAGATTTTCTATAAATGTCATTCCTTTATCATATATTACATAATTTTTTTCCTGAGTATTCAAAATTCTGTCTTGTTAATTCTTTGTATATCACATTTCTTTGACTATCTAGATGTGACCTGAACTTCCTCACAGGCAAAGTGATACTAGCAAGCTTTGCAGATAAAGAAGTAATACTACATTTTACTGAATTATACACACTTTAACCTGAAGTATAAGTGTGAACAGTCAAATAATCCAGATTGAGAGCGCAAAAAAGATAAGTGTATTGAATAATATTCTTCATATACTTTGGATTTTCATCAGGTCTATCATCAATAAGAAAAATCCAAATAGGTCTAACTTTTTCTTCTTTTTTTAGAGTAGTGAAAAACTCTTCACTTGAAATAATGCTTTTTAAGTCTGCAATATGGATTGTTGAAGATGTTTCAATAAAGTATTTGGCCTAACAAATATGAAAAGTTGACCAATTTGTAAGGTGTTACTCAAATCAGCTAGATTAATAATCTAAAGTTGTGAGCGAAACTAAAACCTAAACCTAATTTTTAGCGAAACTTTCAAAACTTGGTGAAACTAGTTTCGTCATTCATGCAAAATTTTAAAACTTTCAAAATTTTTGATACCTAACAAAACTTCTGAAACTTAGCAAAACTTTTGAAATTATCAAAACTTAATAAAACCTTCTAATGAAACTGACAAATATTCAAAACTTAACAAATTTTTGAACAAAATTTAGCAAAATTAAATAATGTATTTTAATTAATTAAAGTAAATTGTAATATTTATGCAAAAATTTATTTATAAAATGAAAATTTTAATAAACATTAATTATTTAACCTATGCGTCTATAAAGTTATTATAAATAAACTTCAACTACTAAATTAGAATTCTAATCCTCATCAATTTCTTCCTGAACTATTTTACTATTATCTGATTTCTCTTCTAAGTTAATATCCAATCTCTGATAAATTCATCAAATCTTTTAAAAATTCTGATGCATTAAAATCTATAATATTATCTAAATAAATGTTATTCTTATTAATACTTACATTCTTTTCTAATATATCTAATATATTTGTATTATTTATTTCATCATTTGAATCTTCAAATTCTTCATCTTCATATAAATCAGCATTATTTAAAATAGATTGTAATTTTTCACTTCCTTTTCTAATACCATAATGTGGTAATTCTTTTTTTTACATTTGCAAGATAAAATAATGCTAATTTTTGTATTCTTTCAATTTTTTCTAAACTAAGTCTAGTTCTATGCTTTTCATAAAACCAACCATGAGATAACCATATTCTTTCACAAGAAGCTGAATAAGGAGTAATTAAAAGAAGTTTAATAGTAAGCTGTGCAATATAATTTTGACCTTTTGGCAAAAAATTATTTATACAATATCATTATATTATAGGAGAATTATCAAATTCATATTGTAAATCAAATGGTGGATCCTGCTTTTTATATGCAGTTAGTTATGACATTAATTCTTCACGCTCTTTATTTGATTTTGTCATTCTTTTATAAAATTTGTCAGCTGTTAAAAGAATCTGACAAAATATGCCTTTTACCTATATTTGATCTAAATAAAATACAAAATTATTTAAATTTTATTAAAATAAAAATTATTTGAATTATTTTTTTTTAAAAAAATATTTTACTATTAATACCTGGATGTAAAAAAGCATAATAAATATATATCATCATCAAATTTAATAAATTTTCGATTAAAATTACAATACAATCTTATCAAAATTCTCAATGATTATTTTTTGGTAACTTTTTAATAGCTACTCCTAATCATGTTAATCTTAAATAACAGTTTGCTAAAGTACTTATTTGTGATTCTAAAGTAGCAATGCTTTTTTTAAGTGGATGTAAAGCAAAAACTAATACACAACAATTATCAAAAAAAGCATGATTTTGTAAAATAATTAATGCTACAGTAAAAAGTATTTCTGCATAATCTGAACGTATTTAAATTATTATAATATTATTAATTTAATAAAAAACATTTAATTTTAATAATATATTATTATTAATATTTACAGTTTTTAAAGGAATCTGATGATATACACTCCCCGGTCAAAAGTATTGGACCACGTGATTTTCGTTATACTAATTGGCGTAATTTTTGCCGATTATAA